ACTTAGTACAAAGATGCTCTAGGACAATGTACAAACCTAATTAGTTTGGGGTAAAACTCTGTTCATATTATTTCCCTAATTAGCATAATAATTTATAATTTTTTGGTTCTAATCACATTTCAATTAAACTTGGTACATAGAGTTTTTGTTACATTGCACAGACCTCATTAGTTTTACAATCAAATCTGTTCATGTTAATTTTCTGATTTGCATAATTAGTTTTCAGCTAAGTAATTTCAAATTATATTTAATGTGTCTCCAATACTCTCAGCACATGGGAGTTCTTTCTAAGCTTTCTTTGATTATGTTTTGGCGTGATTATGTTCCTATTCCATAGTTCTGGGTAGTGCTCTTTAGAGATCATAAGAGTATATGGTGTGCTTGTATATTTGAACATCTATGAAGGCATTCCATTAATGCTACTAGCTTTCCCTATCTACAGTTTTCTTAATACGGCATTTATTCCTTGTATTGTAATTTGTTCAGCTATTCATTTGCATTCATATCATCTTCAATTATTTTTACTTTTCTACTGGTTGATGTACTTTTTGCTAATTGATTGGAAGTGTTTACTCCATTCTGTGTATGAAGTCTCTAAGACTATTATTGTTACGATGTGTATACTCTTGTATAACATTCCATAATTCTTGTTTAGTTATTAGTTTAGTTCATTTTTCATTTAGAGAACTTTCTTTATCTTATGTGTTCCATTCCTGTCGTTTCACATACTTTTTTTAATAGTATCTATCTTTGTTTAATAATTATATGGATGTTTCCTCATTGCCTTTGCTGAATAAATAAGTTCTTTTTTCGTTGAGTTGCTTTGTGCATCGCTGCATCACTTGTTACTACTTTGCGGATTTCTTCCAGGCTTAGATTTTTTAATTGAGCAATTGTTTGCAATATTCTCAATCATTTATTGGAATTCCTTTGCTGTGTCATGTGCAGTGCAGTTTGTATATGTCTTGTCTATAAAAATAATTATTTTATTTTAGGTTATAGATTTGTTTTCTACTGATCATTTATAGCGTTCTGGTGATGATGGTGGGAAAGAACGTTGTAAATTTCTTTGAATGTTGGGAGTTTTCTTTGAATGTTGGGAGTTCTACCTCCATTGGAGGTGATGGTTGTGTAGTTGTAGATACTTGAGATGTTTAATTTGTAGAAACTTTTGTGTAATGATCTCTCTTTTTAACCAAGTGAACCCATATTTAGTTAGAACCTGTATCGCTATTTCTGTTTTCTTCTTGAATGTCTTATTTGTTTCTCAGTTTTTGCATTGATGCGAGTAGATCCAGCTCTGTTTTCAGTTTCTTTCTTCCTCTAGCTCCATTCCGAGGGTATTCAGTGTTGCTTGTATCATATTTTGAATGTTTGATTGTTATCATTCTGATGTTGTCCCTATAGTAATATGTGTATTTGTACCCTATAACTTGTCTGGTTAGTCGTGCTGATAAGTGGACATTGCTTCATAATTGCAGACATTGCTTCACAATTGCATTGATGTTGATGGTGAATATTCTTGTTCCATTTGACTTTCCTAGATGAATACCATATGTATGCAGGTTTTTAACATTTATGTGTGTCATGTCGATTTTATATACTTTGGTATTACATGATTGCATTATGAATTTGTTCAGTGTTTTCACTGTAGCCATTGTGTCTGCATTCCACATTTCCCTTGGGAATACTTCACATAAGTATATCACAACATTTGGTAATCTATGTTGTTTTGTTTCAACTATATATATGTATTAGGTTATTTGTTACGGTGGTGCCGTCTATTCCACTGTCTATGTCATTGCCTGCAATGTTTATAGTGACGCTCTGTAGGGTTGGTATTGATGAGTGTCAATAGTAGTACTGTCAGTTAATATGATTTGATTTGTGAACAGTTCTCTATTTTTTATCTTGAGATGTTTGTGAATCACTTATCAGGTGCCGAACTCCATAAGATATCAGATTGTCTGATAGTGGTGAAGATGCTCGTCAATATTAAACATTGTTTACTACATTCTAAACGTTGTTTATTTAGACGACATCGTTTATACCAAACTACGTTATTTAGACGTCAGAGAATAATAATAATATATATAGTTTATTTAGAGCTGAATATCAATCAAATAATGCCAGATGACGCTCACAATACACATGAATGCTTGATGAAATAAATTCTTTAATGTGGATTTTAATGTGTGAACATTTGGTAGATGATTCCATAGTAAAGAAGATGAATATGAGAATGATTGGCCACCATATGAAGCTTATAGTCTCTAGAAACGATGTTATTATGTATTATGAATATGGCGTTTTTTATTATATTAAGTTTGAGATGCTTTTCATAAACACAAGGTATCAAATTACCATTTCCTTTCAGAAGTTCTTCAACAAAATAATCCCAGCTGGTCGGCTTCCCATATACTCGACTTGCAAAATGCATGAAATACCACGAAACAGCCACGTCTTTTGGATTACGCTGTAGATAGATAGTCTGAAATAAAAGATAATAGGATCTTTATAAACTAATACATGGCCATTGGTCTGAAACAGTGAATACAAAACATTTAAATTATTGACAATATTTCAGCGGCTTCCCTCCTAAGTTTCATAGCATTAAATACAAACGCAGCTAAACGCTGTAGAAGTACATCATTTTGAGTAATTCAAGAAATGTATTGACAGTTGGTGGGGTGCAGTAGTAGTGTGGGATATAGAGACATCTAATGTGATTATAAAAATTACAAACTAATAAAAAATGGAACTCGTTTTCAACAGAATTGATATTGCAAAGCTCGCACGTACGTTGATCTCTTTCTAGATGACCTCTGTCTTTTTCAATTCGTAAACAATGTGATGAACATCGTAGCCGAGCTAGTGATTGCATATGGGTTCGAATATGAACAGAAAACAAATATCCTTCTGGTTCTATGGTAGTTTTAAATTGGCAGTAAGTATCTAACTTGTATAAAGTACACAAGTTAGCCCGCCATACCAAGGAAATATACTGTTTGAATCGTTCCACAAATGTATTTATAAACACATTAACATATTACAAATTGAAAGTAAATATTAGATGTCACTGATCCAGGTGTGTTTTGTGCTGGTTCCCGACTTTTCGATATTGTATAGCACATTGTAACATTTTTTGGCGTACCTTGAATTTGCCATGGGAATTAATTTTGCCCAATATTTAATGCAGCGTTTTGCTGAGTACAGATAGATAGGTTATCTCTCACATCCTCTTAGAATACTACTATTTGGTGATTTATTTGAAACACCAAGAAACATTCTACAGGCGAGATATTGGACTCGTTCCAGATATTTACACTCTCTAAAACCCCAGATTCCCGCCCTATACGTTAGTATTGGTAATATCATTGTATCAAAGACCTTAAAGTTGGTTCTATAGGATAGAGGGCGTAAACAATTCAGAACTTTAAATGAACAAAATAAATCTATTTTCGCTTACTGCGCCAATAGTTTTGTTGCCATTGACCAGTGATATTTGTAGTATAAAATGGTGTGGACCTCCATCCCTCCATAAACCCACTTTTTGTTCCCCGCCCTTGAAAAAAATAATTTTGGTCTTGTCCAAGTTTACAAACATACTCCAGCGCTCACAATAAAATTCTAGTTTATCTAGTAACCTCTGGAGCCCAACAACTGAATCTGATTCAATTAAATCAGGAGATAATTGAATACCATGGTGCTCCGAATTATTCAGCTCATTGATAAAGAAGGAGAATAGGGATGGACTTAACAAACAACCCTGTCCAATAGGGCACTGGAAGTATTCAGTATATCCGTTTGAAGTTTTGACACATCATTTTACATTTGCATACATAGTATGTAATACCTTAAACATCTTTCCATTTATTCCTCCTCCTATAATTTTCTCCGTTTCTTAGTTATATATTTTTGAACAATTGCCTGAAGGATAAATATGTTGTCAGTTGTCGAGTATCCATGACGAAAACCCGCCTGTTCTTCATTTATTTTCCCCAAAGCATCTGCCCAAAAGTTTAAACGTACATTAAGAATTGACGTAAAAATTTTCCCAAAAATATCAAGTAGCGAAATTGCCCTATAACTCCCTGGATCAACCCTCGACCCCTTTCTATATATAGGTATGATGATTGTATTTGACCAGTCAGCTGGTATTTCGCCAGAATCAAAGATCTTATTGAACAAGACGTGTAGATATGGCAATAGTAGATTTACAGAAGATTTAAAATACTCAAACCATCAAATGGCACTCCATCAGGCCCTGGTGATTTATCATTCTTGGGCCGATTGATGCTCTCAATTATTTCTATTTCAGTAATTGGGCCATTTAATATGTCCCAGTCAATTTCATTTGCATAACTAATTACGTTCACGGATTCCAAGTAACTTAACAGTTTGCTCTGATAGACGAATTCATAACTTATAGGTGCACAAGAAAAGAGTTTTTCAAAGTAGTCACGTCATTGGTTTGCTTGTATGGCCAGTGGGATATTATTACTGATTGTACTATTGCGTCTAATTGTTGACCAAAATAGCTTAGAATTTGTTTGAGGCTACATAAGGTTAGCTCTTTGGTTTTCCAAGTATTCACGTTTTGAATTTATTACGAACAACCTGGTATTCGCGTGAATGGTCTTTATTATTTGTTTGGCGGAATCTTCGTAATAGTTTACGTTTCCTTTTATATGCACTGCATTCTGTGTCAAACCATATTGGCTGATCACGCTTAGTACGTTTATTCAATCTAATCATGTGACATTTCCCAGCTGCGTCTTTAACACACTATGGATTATCTTAGCACAGACTGTGTTTTCAATATCTGGAGTTTCTAGAATAGCATTTAGTTTTATTTATTGTGGCCTCTGAACAGATAGTTTGCGTGAAAGAAATTGCACGGTTCTCCACTGAGACACATTTCTTCAGAGTACCGACTTTATCAGGGATTTGAACTTTTTCATTCAGCCTGCTGCAGCATGGCAAACTAAGGTCAAAGGCAAATGGTCATACTCCCCCGAATATCAATAAAAAAATCTAGCACCATATAAAACAATGACGATGAGACAAGAACATAGTCAACAGTGCTTGTCACATTGTGTGTGATGCAGGTGTAGTCTCCTACACCTGTATCACTTCCCATTTCACCGTTTAACATATGAATACCAAAAGTACAGCAGCGATCTAAAAGTGAACGTCTGAATAGATTAATTTCTTTATCTTTTGAGATACATGGTACTTATGAGAAATCTTCCACATAGCCAACCAAACTGTCTAACACAAATTGGGAAATATCATCTAAAATGTGATCAATTTCATTTAAAATCATAGCTGATAATAATATGAACATCTGGGTGGCTTGTCAATATACTTGTTAATTCAAACTCTAACAAGTTGATACTGTTGTTAGTGTCCAAACTGTGGTAGACTGCGGATGTTTGTGGCGGAATATAAACACCACTGTATTGAACAATTGCCCTTTGAATAACAAGCAGCCTGTCGGCTGAGATAGCTCCGCTGTTAGCAATGCACATTTCAATTAAAGAACAGAAGATATCATTAGAAAATGAACAATATGTATAGTATCAAAGCAACGGGACTTGCTGTTTTCAACAAGAATTCAAAAATATCACTTGTCACCAAAAATTACAAAAATAATCATCAAAATTAAGTAATTGAAGATATCACCACGAAATTTACAAATCTAAAAGAGGTCCACATGTAGTACCTATATAAGTAATATCAAGCAATTGAATTGCTTTTTAACAAGAAGTTGAAAATATCACTTTTTACCAAAAATGACAAAAATATTCACCAAAATTAAAGAGTTGAAGATATCATTATGAAATGAACAAATCTAAGAGAGGTCTACCCAAGGTACATATACACCAAGTATCAAAGCATTCAGACTTGTAGTTTTCAAGAAGAAGTCATAAAGGTAAAACATTGACACGGACGACGACAGACAATCACTCATATGATAAGCTCCGCTCGACAAAGTTGACAGCGGAGCTAATAAAATAACACAATCGTGTAATGTTACATGTATACGTTTAACGTATCTAGATATGCAATCCTTAATTAATACACAAACTTCCCCGCAAATTGCCCATGTTTTGGAGATCTTGGTCTTGAAATGCCAAAAACAGTGTAACCAAGAAACTGGGTATTATATTGGTCATGGCTTTCTGCCCATTTTTCTAATAGTGAAATTACATATATATGATACTTAGCAAGAATGGCTGTTTTGATCAGTTAGGTAGTAATCTCTGCTCATTGTAAATTGGATTTCTCGAAGATTGAAAGTGATGTGTTTGGCATTTTACACAGTGACGGTTTTGTTGACAATGTTTACTATTTTATTTGTTATACATCTTCCTCTTTCAGGAAACTGTACTATATGCAATGGCATTTTGTATCTTATAAATTGTAATATTTGGTTTAATATGTTGTTTCATTACCTTTGGTTTCTTTTCATGATACTGAGTTGGCAGAAATTCTGGTAAGAGGTGTGTTCCAACATCTCGAGGTGATGATAACGGCCTTGCGTTATATTTTTCAAGGGCTGAAGTATATTTGGATAAATTTGGAAAATCCGCAAAGGGTCCCCACGATAGTGTGATATATAGTTCATTCATAAATGCATGACGACATCCAACGTTGACTTATTCAATGTCATTATTGCTCGTACAACTCTTGTTAACCAGTACGTACCTAAATCAGGGAAAGATAAACTTTGATTATGGCATCAGCCCATATGTCTAAGCATCTTGTGTTATAAACACATCATTCAAAAAATCAAAATAATTTAATCAGACTTGGATTGTACTCATTGAACACAGATTCGGTCAGAAAAGTCTTTTTGCAATATACTGCAAGTATTAGTTGAGAAAAATAAATAAGGATGTGTAACAGTTGTAAGTGTCTTATTATATGATACCTAACTGTAGTTGATCTAACAAAGAACACAAAAGAAACGGCTGAATACTAGTAATTGAACTAAACATAACAGCTGACAAGTATACAACACTACATAGTTAAATCAGTAAGAGAATCAAAGAAAGCGTGGAAAGAACTCCCCATGTGCTGATATTAGAGACACATTACAAATAATTTGAAATTACTTGTATTTGAGATATTGATGGAAAAGCTGAAAACTAATTATGCAAATTGGAAAATTAATATGAACAGATTTGAGTGTAAAACTAATGAGGTCTGCACAATGTAACAGACCATCTATGTACCCAAAAATTATGAATTATTATGGAATGGAATAATTTAGATATCAGTGTGATAGCTTGAAATTGGTTAATTATGCAAATTGGATAATTAATATGCACAGATTTTAACCCACAATTAATAAGGTCTGTTAATTGTCCTACAGCATCCATGTACAAAGTTTCATTGAAATGTGATGATTAGTACTTGAGATATCCGTGGAAAAGCTGAAAATTAACTAATTATGCAAATTAGATAATTAATATACACAAATATTTGTCCCAAAACAATCAAATCTCTGCATAGTCCTTGAGTATCTATGTACCAAATTTCATTGAAATGTAATGCTTACTACTTGAAATATAAAAAGCTGAAAATTAATTAATTATGCAAATTAGTTAATTAATATGTACTAAAAACTATCAGGTCTGTGTGTCCTGTGACATCTATGTACCAAGTTGCACTGAAATGAGATCTTGAGATATCAGTGGAAAAAACGAAAATTTACTAATTGTTATACCAAAACTAATCAAACCTAGCATTAGTTCAGAGCATCTATGTACCAAGTTTCATCAAAATCCAATGAGTGGTTGTTTAGATATCAGTGGAACAGCTAAAATTGGCTAATTATCATGCAAATTAGGTAATTATTATGCATGGATTTTTACCCAAACCTAATCAAATCTGCGCATTGGCCCAGAGCATCTATGCACCAAGTTTCATCAAAAACCGATGTATGGTTCTTGAGATAGCAGTGGAACAGACAGACACGCACGCACGCACGCACGCACGCACGCACGCACGCACGCACGCACGCACACACACACGCACGCTGCAAAGACTCCCATTGTGTGCTTTGCACATTGGAGTCAAAAATATATATACACCGTGGTATACACAAAGCGATGTCAGGTATTTTTGAAAGAGTGAGCTCCACATCTGGCACTCGCCATATATCATTCTGACTCATGATCAAATGATTGTTGTTTGAAACAGTCGTCGCAACTTTTCAATCTATAAATCATGATTATTAAACAACGATTAAAAATGCTTGATTGAACGAACCTACTGAAAATATTGCTTGCTGAATTAGATTTGTGACTGTGCATGTTAATCCATCATATAAAAATATAAGTATATGAAAACAAAAACTTTGTAATCTATTCAATATTTGTCTGTAAAATTAGTATAAGGACAATTATTTTATCTAACCTGGGCTTAATCTCGTTACTTAAGTTGTTAATGAATAATATTATTTCCAGTAAGCCCAAATTAATAAAGCACTTATTTTTTTTTATTTAAACAATATTTTTATTTCGTTTCAATAATAGACATACAACACAAAATATTACATTACATAATGGAAAAAGGAAGGAAAATAAAAAGCACTTATAACATAATAACAAATGCTATTAGTTTTGATTTGTCTGCAGGGATAACGTCGACTGTTGTTGGATGCTTAAAATTCTACAATAAACCTAACATGTTATAGCCTATTATTTAATTTATTTCAACACATAGACTTTAGTTATGCATGAGTGGTCCACTTGAATTTGAAATGAAAAAATAAACTTTGTACATGTGAATTTTGATGTGCCTTTGGTTTGTTTATTTATGGAGGGCGAAAATCCGGTGGTCTTTTCACAAAAAGTTGGATATGCAACCTGAATCACATACCACAGTGAAATATATATATATATATATCTGTTCAATTCTTTTAAAAGATCGCCCTCATTAGACCAACAATTCTCAGTTTGTCCCAATTAGACTGCATAATGAAATATGTACAGACTTAAAGCGAGGGAGTCATCACCTGCGCATGCGTCAGATGATATAGCGTGTCATTGTTTACAAACAAGTGTCTACTCATGAGCCTTGCATTTTCAGCATGTGTTGTTATCGTCGCTTGGAACTCAATTCCCGCGCGTGCACAGGTGAAGACCCTCCCGCTTTAACTGAAATGCGTAAACAGAAACAATATTTGTTTAAAGATGCAATATGGACAAGAATTGACATTTATTTTTACTCTTTAATTTATTTCACTCTTTTAAAGTGAATTAACCACATATAATCATAGTTTACCTATTCAATCTAAGGCATTGTGCATTCAAAATGCCGATATGTTCAATATTGGCAACATGACAGCGTTTTAAAGAGTTTGTTTGTAAACATAGATTGAATCTGCCTCGATTGTTGGAGATACGGGTCATGTGATTATGAACACATAAAATGATGACGTCATAGCGGTCATAGATCATCGCAACAATGGCAACATTATTTAAAAACTTGTGTGAAATGGACACTAAAAAGTTAGTTTCACAAGGAATGCTTTCTCACAGACTTAAACATCGACAAACACATTGGGCATAATTACACAGATGGCGCATCGGTGTTGATTCACTGTTGACAGTTTTCCCGGAGTGAAATGTACAACATACGCAGGTAGCTAGGCAGACAATGCACTTATAAATAAACACAAAAATGAAGGCGTGGAGGACAGCTAGTTACAATGTAGTTAGTGCTGGATTCTTTTATTACCGTCCGGAATACTGGTAAGTAATGAATAATGTTTTTCTATCCAAACTTTGCTATCCAATTATGCAACTTTATGGTTTTTAAAGAAAATACCGCTACGGTAGACCATTTACAAAAACAACTGAACAATTTGCATGCAAATGTATGATTTGTGTGTATAATGCCCTAAGATGTTTCTGTTTTACACATCTCCTCTACCAATGTAGCTATTGCAGGTGGTGGTATAAGAGCATTGTCAGCAGAAATGTGTCTCTGGTCATCAGGTTCATGTACCATTGGTCTATACATCCATATCTGTCAGCCATTCTGAGATCCAGACTGTTGGTTTTTAATTTAGCAATATGAAAATAGGTCTTGTCAGTTTTGATTGGTGCCACCAACCATCGACCACTTTTCTTATTGAAGATTCTTTTGTACCTATATACATGTATAATAAAAATACATTATATATCTGGCAGTGTAACCACGTCACACAGGTCACCATACATACTTTGTAATATTGTAATATTAAAGTTTTGGTTCAAATCATATTATTTATATTTATGCATTAAGATACAACATCCTTAGAAAATATAGCTTTTGTACTCTCCATTCTGTTTTTTTGGCGATCCGCTCTGCTAGGAATGCCCTTAAAATCACTTTTGTGTGTTTATGTGTGTGTGTGTGTGATTTCCAGTATTTTCACATATTAATTTTTCTGTGAAATTTTTGGCTTGGCCTTCACCATAGTTATAAGGAAAAATTTGAAAAAAAAAATTGGCCCACCATTGCCATAGCAACAGCAGAAAACTGTTTTTTTGGATAGCTTTGCGCCAAATAAATCTCCTCTTACAAATTTTGTATAAAACACCTCAGACATAGCTCATTCTACTCAGCTTGAGTGTGGGCATAAATTTACCTTTTTTTATGTATAATTTCATTACAGAGAAAATTGACTTGAAAGTTGGGGTAACTTTTCACCAGCAACGTCTTTTGCTCTGTGATTTTTTTGGCTTGGCTGATTTTGTCCATACTTGACAGGCAGGTCGTACCGTCACTAATTGAAAAAAAAACCTTGGCCCACCACTGCTATGGCAACAACCAAAAACTGATTTTTGAATTCTTTCGCCCCAAATTACAAGTCTTGTAATAGCAGTGTTCAAATGATCATGCTTTTTATTTTGGCTACATTGCACACTGGTAGGAAATCACCAGCGCCGACATTGTTACACTGTATCAACATAATCCCAACTTTGAAGGCAGCATTTACAGTTCATTCATAGTTCAATCTAGAAAATACTAATGCAAAACGGTTGGAAATAATAAATTTAACAACAGAATCTGTCCTAACAATAAAATAAAGTAACTTCTAAAAACTGAATATTTTTTGCGAAATTCGTATACAAGACTCGGTTTTAGTTACAAACTGATGTTTAGCTTCACGTTCATGTCCTACCATGGCAACAGCCAAAAACATATTGCTTGTTTTTGGAGCGGAACGCCAACCAGCCTACTGGCTTGTCCTTATTATTTCTCTATTATAATGTATATTGCGGTCTATTGATGCAAGGCGGTTCCTTGCTCAATAAAATGGGAGGATGTATACATGTAAACCATTTGCTAGCATATTGCAATATCTGCTGTTGAAATGTTTCAAGCTCACCTATCTTCCTGTAAAGCAGTAAAAAAGTGGTTTTCTAGCTTCATACTTTCATCAATACAATTTCCTTCTAATAATATAGACTTGTTCAAAATATCTTGATTTTTGAGCTCACCTAGCATTCAAGTAGTAAGGTATCTTCTTCAGAAAGTTTTTATCAAACACAATATGACACAATGCATCAAGTGCCTTGGTTCCTTCTGCAACCACTCTCCGGCACCACTAGCTTCTTCTGTTAAAGGGACATGCTGGCACTGGCCATTTCCAGCCTGGTCCACAATCAAGGTTCACTCATGTTCATTGACAACATGGCATATTAAGCTACTCCATATTCCCTGTAATGAGAATAAATATAAAACTGTCTGCAATTTCTGCTTTTATGTGTATTTCCATTGTGGGACACAAAAAGAAGAAGTAGTAATGTCCAATAGAAGTCATTTAAACAAAGTATTTCCGTGCACATTAAACTATTATTGAACAAAAGCCATTGTCAACGACATAGTCCCTGTTTGTATTAGCCTCTATTAGGATTGACAGGTGACAGTACAAGATGGGAAGATGGGAGGATTGAGATTACAGCGATTGGAAGATCATAGTACAGAGTGGGGAAGGTCATCTATAAATATAGATATATCTGTAAAACTTGTAATAGTAATCATCTAATTAGAATGTAGCAATGACTTTTTAAAGAAACAATTTAAAGGAGTTCAAAAGCAGGTGTAATGTAAGTGTGTAATATGTAAGTTATACATGCTGCTTATTTTCAATGATCTGATACTTTTATTCACATTTTTTAATTTATTTTTTCATTTGTCAAAACTATTGTGAATTTGTTTATCATGAACTACAACAAATTTTCCTAATCAATCCGATGAAATTACTAGAAATTATGTCTGCTCATCCCTCCTTTTTTTGCTGAATTGTTTAAGCTCTAATACCAGCACTGTCCTTTAATATGGTAAAACAAGCAAACATTTCTAGTAGATATTTGTTATTAAATTTATATCCCAGCTGCTTCTGCCTATTTTCTCCATTTTGCTAAAAAATAACTCCAGAACATCTGCTATATGATTCGTCTATACTTTGAATTTGGATGTAGCTGTTGAATAGTCACATCCTTAATGAGTAAATTTATTCACTTCATTCATATGCATATTTGCATACGCTACCAGAAGTAAACTAACGGCACCTCTTTTGAATCTTTGATTTGAGTCAGAATACCTACATTGGTTGATGAATGTGTCAATATACCATGCCATACAAAAGCGTTTGCATCATTTTCTCAAAACTTTTTAGTTGTTTTGTGCAACCTTGGCAAAGGCATGGCGAGTTTTGTCCACAGTAAGTCCAATGGAAGCAGAAAGTCAATCAGCATACATGTTTGATGACGTAGTATTGTGGTTTTTAGTTCAATTCAAATACATTTATGCAGGATTTTAGGGGTTGACCAGATAGCAAGTGACAAACATATATGGCACAAGTCATCGGGAGATTTACTGATAATCTTTTGAGGAGTCTGTTTTGATAAAGGAGTACATTTGTTGGTAACAATCATTTCGAAGTGTGCATTTCTGCTGCGATTGAGTCACAATCATAATAGAACATTTTATCAGTTTTCTTTCATGTAATCTCTGACAAATTACCAAACACCAAATCCATTCATCTTGTGACGTTCATTTGGGGATGAGAAAACATCCCGTCGCTGATAAAGGTGCCAGTGAATAATATTCCAGTCAAACATCGCTTGGCTCAAACAAGGAAAAGTATTTTATCTATTTTACCAACACAACAATCTCAAAATAAATAGATTAATTGTAAATTGATGTACTTTGACTTTGAAAATGTGAATTCAAAATAGAACAAAAATACAACACCAGCAAAGGCCTACATGATTTTGTAGCATTTAAATCACCTACACACTTATAGACGGGCAGACAGACATTTGTACAACACTACCTACCGTACTTTGATAATTTTCTTGATAAGAATCTTAGAAGTATGTTATATGTCTATGGAATGCTTCATTTCTGAATATATATCGTCTTCAAAAAGTAAATGAAGATTAGTTTATTTTAATTAAAACTGAGACAGCATGTTCCAGTGATGTGATGAGGCCATCATCCAATTTGTGGATGAGCATTAGTCACAATCAAGCAGCTGCAAGCCACCTGGAAATTGACCCCGCCAACCCATGTGAAAGCACATGGATAGGTGCATAAACAAAATGTACCCGTGATGGTAGTCAATACAAATAATACTCCGACCAACAATCAGTTACTTGACAATACAAAAAGCAAAAACAGAATATTCTCATCTCAAACACCAAAATTAACACAGATCCATGCTTTAAACAGCTACACTGTACTGACTGTTCTGTCGGTGGGCATATTTCGGTAAACGACAACTGCCTGACAACTGCCTGACGACTGACTGTTGCCACTATATTGTCATGAGTAACGATACATGTAAACAATGAATTATTAAAGTGAATGTGAAATATCTATGAGTGGTGGTCTGCCACCATCGAGAGTCCAAGTCCAGATGGAATATGGTGTGATAAAATTAAATTCGTAATGCAAAAACAAAACAAATGTCTGCGTATCAGTCAACTTACCAAACCATAAAAAACTTTTCCACTACCACATGGGTTTGCAAATTCACTTCTGACTTATTCATGGTCTTCAAAAATATTCATTTTCCTGGTATTTCTTCTCTCGATGGTGCGTTTTTTTTACGGAGTTTGTAACGTAAAAGTCATCCTTTGCGACAATATTTGCATACCACTTTTATTGAGAAAAATAACATTTTGTCCCACCAACAGTTTGGTTTCAGAAAAGGTTGTCGTACAACTGACAACCTATTTATATTGAAAACTATTATTGAAAAACACACCAACAACAATCAGCATGAAAATACAGTGAATGAAAAAAAAGAAGCTAAAGCAAACAAACAAAATTTATGCCTGTTTTGTAGACCTGAAAAAGGCTTTTGATAGTGTTTGGCATGATGGTCTATTCTGGAAACTATTAAACAAT